TTCTTATAATACTTTTATATAGTTTTGCTAAGATAAATTTATAGATATTATTAAAAAATTCTCACAGCAATATTTCACTGAAACTCGTAAATGTACGAACACTTTAGGGAACCACTACATATTGGTGTGAATAAGGAAGGAAACATTTTAAAGATGCACACTTTACGAACAATGTGTACTTTTTTATTGATGCCTTATCCCTTTTTTAATCATATTGTTTAACAAAACCGTACAAACAAATGCTGAATTGTTTAATCAGATACTATGACCGGTAACTACAATTCAACACTGAATATCTGCAAAATTATTGGTTTTTGTAGATCAAACTAAAACTAGATGAAATGAAATCATTTCAGCATTTTTTACTAATGTAAAAGGAATTTTTTAACAAGACTAAATTTCTAGTAACACTGAAAAGGGATTCTTTGAATTAAAGAAAATAAAATTTTCTTTAATGTAAAGAATTTCAAAAGTTTTTGTTTTCATAGATCAAAATATAGAGAATTAGTATAATAGTCAGAAATGTAATAAATCATCCTATATGTACATGAATTTTTCCTTAAATTATAATTTAATGTTGTTCTTAAAAATATATAACCTTTCTCGAGATTGTGTAACTACGTATAAGGAATGTTTTTAGTTTGCTATTTTTCTACTAACACTGAAATGGATTATTGAAATTTAAATAAAAAATTAATGTTTTTCATTTTATAGAGATCAAAACAATGGGCTGCCGCATGCAGTAATCAAGACTTGTTAAATAAATCACAACTGATTTATAAAACTGCACTAATATGTTCGTCACACTTCAAAGATCACGATTACTGTTACCAAAGATGCGATATTTACATTCCTGTGCAGTGCCGACAAAATTTGAACAAACAGGTATCTACAGTATTTACTGTTATTATTTCAATATGCTTAACAATAGTGCCATCTAAGAAGTAACTCATCTGGGCAATAATAGCGGATCACCTGTCATGTTATCTCAAAACTGCTTGCAAAAAAATTATGGTATTAATCGAATTTGGCTTATTTTTGGCAAATTAAATTTGTAAATACAGATACAGCATTTTAGAATTATTCTATGATAGTGAAGGTGGAAAATGCTTTTGTAATTGCTTTTTAAAGAATTAATTTCTATTTCATATTTTGAAACATTTCGCAGGATGACTCAACAATCTTATTTATCATGGATTTACAAACTTCTTATACATGGTTGTTTTCAAGTTAAGTATTTAATCTTAATTAATAATGTTAAATATTGCCTATTTTTAACAAAAAGATGAATTAGTTATTTAGTAATTTCTGTGAACTTTGTAGACTTTTTAAATGTATCTTTATTGTTATTTAAGTGAAATGCTTTGGCTTTTTTGCAACTTGCTTTTTTATACTGCATTCCATATAAAATTATCTTTCACCCCCCCTTCTTTAAAGTTGAGGTCAGATAATTGTATGTATTTCAGTGTTTTCAATTTATTAGGGATACTTTAATTGTTTTAATTATTTTTTCTTTTTGGTTAGTTTATGCAATTTGCTGTAAATTAATAGGATTCATAAAAGTCATTTGTTTGCATGGAGTGTTTCTTCTTTTTTAAGCTACGATAATGTATCATTGTCATAATTCTTTATTAAGTATATTTTTGCAAAATTAAATTATGTAAATCCAAGCCAAGCATAGAGTATTTTAGAATATTATCTGTCTAGTGAATAGAAAGTGGCATTTTGTAATACTACTTAAAAGAATTATTCTAATTTCATAATTTGAAATAATTAATCAGATGATTGCAACAATATTTATTTGATCAGTGGATTATTTACAAAACTTTAATACCTTAGGTTTGATTTTCAAGTTAGTATTTAATCTTATATAAATGTGAGAAGTATTGAATATTTTGAACCAAAAGAATGAAATTAATTTTTAATAATTTTGTGCAACTTTTATAAGACTTTTAAATGTAATCTTGTATTTTGTTAATAAGTGACGTTTGATCTGGTTTTCATAATCATTCTTATAAAATTTCTTGTTTTTTTTTTTTTTTTTTTTTTTTTTTTTCTTCTTAAGTTGAGGTCAGATATTATAATGAATTCAGTGTTTCAATTATTTAGGGGTACTTGTAATTGTTTTAATTTTTTTTTGTTTTTTTTTTTTTTTGTTTTGTTTTGTTCAGTTAGTTTATGAAAATTTTGCTCATAAAATTTAAATATGGAGTTATAAAAAATTATTATGAATTGTATGGTTTGTGTTTTTTCTTTTTAAGCTCACAGAATTAAATGTACTCATTGGTCGAATAAATCGGAAATTAAATAGATTTTTGCAAAATTAAAATTATGTAAAATCCAAGCTACAGCATTTTTTAATTATTATATGTATGGTAGATGGAAAATAGTCATTTTTGTAATTGCTATTTAAAAAAATCAATTTCTAATTCATAAATTGAAATATTCATCAGGATGAGCTGCAACCATTATTTTTGATTCAGTGGATTATTTATAAAATTTCTTCCCAGGTAACAAGTATTGAATATTTTATGAAAAAATAATGAAATCACTTATTTTAATAATTTAAGTGAAAATTCTTAAAAGCCCTTTAAGTGTAATTTGTATTGTTAATTTAAGTGAAATGCTTTGGTTCTTGGCTGCAAAATTTGCTCATTGTTTTCATAATGGTCATTCCAATAATTGTCTAAAAAATTTCTGGTATTTGTGAAGATGCTTAAAATTATTTTGCATATGTATATTTGAAACTTGAGAAATGTCAATAAAAATCATTTTTTTACTTAAATGTGTTATTCTTTGTTTTAAATATTTAATATTGCCGATGTAAAAAAAATAGCGTTATTAAGTAATTAATTGCAGATTTGTTAGAAACCTACACCACGCAGTAGTTAATTTGTTTTCTATTAATTCTGATGTTAGTTATAATTAATCTAGATATATATCAAAAGAAGGGTTAGGGGAAAAATAAGGAAATAAACATAAAAATTTATTTATTATCATTTATTTTGCAATTGAATTTTAGGATGTTCTAGCAAAACATCTAGATGATTAAAATTAGAAGATAAAAGCAGCTACACCAATTTATCTGAAATGTTATGAAATAAAACATTTTGAGGATTTCAAAGCAAAAAACATTACTATCTCCTCGGACTGCCTTATTTAAATTCCACCCTGCGCTGCTGTTCACTGCATAGCCGTGGTCATCGATATAGCGGCGCAGAGGCGAAACAGGTTTACATTGCGTCTATGGAAGCTTTCATTCTTTTCCTTACAGATTCTTTGGCAGTGGCGACTCGTAATAAACACTGTGGAACTGCAGCACCCCCTATTTCCACTTATTATTATTTTTAATATTTAATATAGTGTGCCCTTTAGTCTCTACTCCTTTCTTTATACTTTTACAATACATAAGCCTTAAGATTAATATCAGTAGCCATCACGAAAATCTTTGTTTGGAACTGCGCGCTTCATAGTTCCAGCAACGTAGCGTTTGGCTGTTCTGTGCATGTGCACACAGAAAGCAGCACGCGAGCTGGGTAGACAGAAGAGCACTGTCACTCTTGCAATGCCGAAATTCTGGCATGTTGTTGGCAACATCATTTCTTTTTACTATGCGCGTGTGTTATTCCTCCACAATGTGGAACTTCATCACACGGGCCATAAACAGAGTTCATGAAAATTTGCAACCTTTAAAAAATTGTCTTACTGAAATTCAATCAACATCAAATGCAGATCAAACTATTGCAAAAGAAACAGGAAATTTAAAATATCTAAATGACGATAATTTCAAATTTTGGTTAGAGCTTTTTTGTCAGATGCCTCATGTTGAAATAAGATACAACTAAATGCAATCCAGAGAAATTAGTGTGTTTAAAGTTAACGAATATATAACAAATTTCAAAAGTGCTATTTTAGAATTAGGAAATTCAAAGTACTGTGAGAAGTTTTCAAAGACACTGATGGCAGAAGCTAAGGAAATATGTGACTTTATATTGTGCATTGATATAATGCACTAATATTTTTCCACTAAACACTTAGCAGCTGCTAAATTGCTAAACAAGAAATGCTTCACTAGTTTTAGGAATGACCATTCTATAAAAGAAATAGTACTGACCACTGAAGCATATCCAGTGATTGACAAAGAAAAGCTTGAAACTGAAATAAAAGTATTCTATTGTACGCCTGATATCCATGAATAATGCAAATTAATTGAGCTATTGAAATTTATCTTCAAAAATAATCTAAATGATGTTCTTAGTGAAATTGCAAAATTGATAAAAATTCTCTTGAGAGTTCCCATGACTACATCAGAGACAGAACGCTGCTTTTCAACATTGAAAAGAATGAAAACTTTTCCAAGAAGCACTAGGAATTCGGAAAGACTAAATGTGCTTGCATTGCTTTCAACAAAGAAAAATTTCCTCATTTGTCATTCAGAGATCAAAGAGAAAATTATTGATCTTTTCACACAAATTAAAAAATGAAGAATGGTTTTCATTTTTAAATGAATACACAAAGATTGAACTGTAACAATTTTGGTTAAAGTAATTATGAAATGTTTAATTATCTTCTTGTAAGATTTAATGAAATTTCAAAATAAATTTTCTTTTTAAACATGTTTGTTTCTTTTTAGACAATTTTAAAACAAAGGTTACATTTTTTTGGAACAGCACCCCCACTAATTTTAGCCAAGAGCCACCACTGACCAGGGGTATAAATTGATAAAAGAAACAAAACACATTTATATCATATAACTCTAACAAAAAAATAATATAGAAATCCTAAGACATATCAGTGTTAAGGAGCAGTATTACTATTGTCGTACAATATGCGTGTGTATCAAATACATTTCATGAATTTCAATAATCAAACATTCACTTTATGTTATGTTAAAGAAAATACAAAGCATAAAAAATAAAAAGCACATAACGATAGTAAAGAAACAAAAATGAAACAAAACTTGAAATAAGTATTATGAATAAGGCAGTGGTTCCACATACCACAGTTTGCTTCATCAATTCCTTCTAAACAATCATTTCTTCCATCACAGCGCTTGCTGACATCCACACAACTACCATCCCTGCATACTATATCTCCAGGTTTACAGATACCTTCAGTGGAGAGAAAATAATGCTTTAATGTACAGAAACATTTGGTTGTAAAGTCCATAAATTATGATAAATGCAAGGCACAAAAAAATAAAATTTATAAAAATAAACCTTTTAGACAATGCTTGTACCACATAATTATAATAGTCAAATATAAAATAATCTGAGAACAAAAATACAGTACCAAATCTGATATCTGGAACAGATGGAATATTGACGATTTTTGATTATGAAAATTTCCTGATTTTAAACCGTCAATTAAAATCTAGTAAGATGATAAAAGAAATATCAAATTTTTATTATTTCTATGTATCTACTGTCCATTGGGTGACTGATGACTGTTTTCATACCCAAAGGATTTTATTACAGGGTTCGTACACATTTCTGCACACGAAAATTAAGTACTTTTAAGGACTTTTAAGGACCATTAATGAAAAAAATTAGGACCTATGAGCAAATGGAAACTGAAAAATCATTAATATTATTCTATGCCCCAAATTTCCTTTTGTAATACCACCCAAAATAAAATAGATCCCTAGTAGTATCATTATACTAGAATTAACTAACAATTATTAATAAGTTTGAGATAAAATAAATTTCATGCAGTTAATCATCAAGCATTAAATTTTACCTATATAGTTGGACATATTTAAAAAGAGAAGTGAATTTACGTTTTACTAATAGTTAGCTTTTTTTTTTTTTTTTTTTTTTAATGTCTCATTTTGTCACATGCTTGGTCAGTATAGAGGTTAGCAAATAGTAGGGAGCTTTATGTCAAACGGCATAGGTTAAAAAGAGAAGGAGATCATAAATCATGATTCATAACAAAGACTGAATGTTGTCTATAGAGAGACCTGCGACGGAACAAACTGAAAGGCCTGATGTAGGCCAATTGGTATGTTGAAGTTAGTCAAGCCCTGCTTAATGCAGTTAATTTCATAGCTTTATGTAGAGTTTAGGGGTTGTAACCCAGTAATATACATACTTAGGTTCCAAAAGCATTTAAAGTCCAGAGGTTATAAGTTGTTTTATATACAAGTCTCAGTAGATGCAAAGAATAAGTTTTTACCTAATGGTGTGATGGTTATTTGATGGGTGATGGTTACTTGATGGGTTCTCCCACAAAGGATTTGGCGATTGGATTCCCTAAAACCCCTCGCTGTTTAAAAGGGGGAGTATATAAGGTATTTCTCCCACCTTCTTGGTGACCCTTCGTGGTGTATAGTGGTTGCACACTGTAGCGGTATTCCAGAGGTCCCGGTTTTCGATTCCCGCAAGACGTTGTTAATTTTCTATCGTTCCTGCTTTCAAAATACTTAAGTCTACAAGCCTTCCCAAACATTTTGGCTAGTTATATCGATTTTCTCTTTAATTATCAATCTTTTCTGACAATAATTAGAAATTTGTTTCTATGCAAACCATGTTCTCGCTAGTTTCTGTGCTTTATCTCCGAAATTGTCAACCTCTCCACAATGTACCTATGAAGATTTACTTCATTGATAAATGTTAAAATAGTCCCCCCCGATAGACGTGAAGCAAATTATCACGGTATCTGAAAGTAACTACAATATCAGACAAGGAACTTAGAAATAAGGCATGTTCTGATGCTAACAAAGTCAATTACAGCTCACAGTGACGTAATTAAACAAGAACAGTCAAATTCAAACTAAAAATGTGGACTAGTGGTCAAAGATAATTACAATTTAATTTGAATTTAATCTGGCTCAGTAACTCTATCATATAGGGAAACAGAAACGGGAAGTTATAGTAAAAGCTGAAATGATAAACCAATTGGGTAATTTACATAATAACAACTGCACATATCTTTGAAGAATAATTTTCTTTGTGTATTCGGTTTCTTTTTTCAACGTGTTTCCTTTTAATTTTAGAATTTTTGGATTTAATTAAGGATTTCTATTATTCTAAAAAATACTAAATGCATTTAGAATGTACAGAAAAAGAAGCTAATTTTATTTCTTTAGTAATATGAACATTCAGAAGAAATATGAAATATATATGGTAAAGGCCGGTTACAGAGCAGGTGTGGCAGAATTTTTAGAATTTAGTGACACCAAATAACAAAATCTAGAATGGCAAAACTTTTAGAATTTAGAACAGGATTGGAGCAGAATTTAGGATCACAGAGATTGCATCAGGTGGGAAAATGCCTAAGCCACCAGCTCTGTGTACGATGCATTAGACACATTAGATGAATCTTTTAAATTGTAAGTTTTTAATTTTTTTTTTTTTTTTTTTTTTTTTATATAATAAAAAAATCCTTTCTATAATGCCTGCCAAAGTGCTAAGATTAGAAGCATTTTTGATATTTTCCATGCTTTTTCTAGTGAAAAGTAGAGAAAATAAAGGGAAGATAAACATGTTAAAAAAGATCTAGTATCAGAAGTAAAACATTCAAATTATGTTTTTCATTGTTCTTCCAGACCTTCTCCAAAAGTAAGAAATTCATCACAAACTTTCTGTAAAATGTATCCATTACATACCATGGAGACATTTTCAAATTTTGTCACATATTTCTCGAATCTTCTAGTATTGTGAGGTCTATAAATCTTGGCTTCAAATCCTTCTAAACCTTTCCATGCTGCAATGTCAAAATACCTAAAGAAAAATTATCCCAAACCAATTCTGTAACAGCAAAAAAGCCAGAAATAGTTTGAAAAAAAAAAGGAAGGAAAAATGTAAAATTAATTTTATAGAAAAACTGATGCATATTCTGAGAATTTTGAATAATCTGAGACAATTACATGGGAAAACGCTTACTATGAAAAAATTAAAAAGAAGTCATTTTTAATTAATACATAGCTAATTTTGCTTTTCTAAGAAGCGGTTTTGTAAATTGCTTTATAACTATATAACTGTTTTTATTTTTTCAGATTTAAAATATTGTATAATAAGTGCCAAAATGAAAACTTTATAATATGACAGCGCAAAAATAAAAATGTTTTATTTTAATGTTATTTTTTAAATATAATTCTAATACATTACCATTATTTTAATGAAATTTATCAATGTTATGATGTTTTAAAAAAATCGCCGAAAAATTCTCAGATCACGGAATTAAAAATTTTCTATAGAAACTGATCTTAAAATCGCCAAAATGTTGACAAGTTGTCAAATTTAGAACCATTTAATAAAAGAATTCATAACTCCAAAAGCGAAAAGTTGTTTATGAGCTCTTTATTAGAAAAAATGAATTTCGAAATGCTTATGTTTCACTTGCTTAGAAACTTGAGTATCCCATCATTTATATTAGAAATAGAAACAAATTATAACCCATGAACCCATTCAAAATATAACCATATATACGTCAGTGAATTGCCAAAAATATTCCTCCAAAATGCTAATTCACACTCAAAATAGCAGTTGTAAAAACAGAGAGAAATTTCAGATGATTAAAATTAAGGACCTTCTACTACTGATTTTGGCCAAAATTAAGGACTTTTAAAGACCAAAAATCGATTTAAAAAAATTTAAGGATTTTTAAGGTCTTTTAAGGACTGTACGAACCCTGTATTATATCATATTCCTTTATAATCACTTCTCCACATTTCTTTATAAATTCCATTAACTGGAATATTTTGCCTCTTTTTTTTTTTTTTTTTTTTTTTTTTTTTTTGCAATATTCAAAAACCTTCTGATTCATGGTTATCATTATTATCTCACCATGAAATATTGTAGCTGACTAATATAATATGGTAGCCTTCAAGTAACTAAACATCTTGTTATGAAAAATGCATTTTAGGCACCAAAAAAGTAAATTCAGTTGAATCTGTATTAATGAAAAATGTGATTCAGCAGATACTTCCCATTGACACAGTTTCTGAAAATCAGGATTCCTCACAGTAATGCAAACCCACCTCGTTGACTGACACACAGCCTTGGTTCTAATTATCTGCTAACTTGAGATTAATTTATAATTTTTCTAATTCTATAAAATTTTAATAACATTTTTAGCTTTTCAAGCCAATATTTTACTAAAATTACTATCAGTTGTAAAATTACTTTTTTAAGAAAACATTTTCAGGCTTTTCCAAGCGCATATTTTTCTATAACTTTAAAATTTTGATCATTCATAACTGCATAATTTCAATGGGAGCAGTATTCTGAGATCCAAGATACTACCTGATGGTATTTAAAGTTTCTGAAGCCTGTTAGTTTGAAGGAACCATATTTTTCTATATTGCTTTACTTTTCCTGTTTTAGATTTTGCTGCATTATGAAACTTCTTTGGTGATAATTTATAATGCTGCTATTTCTAAACCTGCAGTCAGGTGAAGTTTATGAATTTTATCGTAGCCAAGAAAGACAAGCCCTTGGGCCCCTTGCAAGTAACAGTACAAGTCTACTTAGCTCGATCCAAATTTTGAAGAGTCTCCTGCAGATAGATCCAAAGATCTTCCATTCCTTTTTCACTAGTACCACTTTTTGAGAGAACATTCAATTTAAAAGTACTTTAGGTGCTAGCCTTTTTCATTTGTAAATCCACATAATTATCAATTTAAACATTACTGCATTCACAATGATCATAATTTGAATTGAGACAATGAAAAGTGATAAAATGAAATTTTCATACGATTTCAAATTTATAGCTTTTAATCTTCTTGTGTCGGAAACAAAATAATCGCCCATTTTATATAAATATAATTTTTACACAATAAATCAAAATTTCCTGAAGTTCTAATAAGCGTTTTAGACAACCATGCATAGCTGTCAAATCACAATTTAATAAAATCTGAAATGAAAAATTATCTTCAAACTGTGTTAGCTTATTATTTAACTAAAATCAACAAATATATAAACAGATATGCTAATAACTTATCTAAGTATAAATTCATACAAAACTCTATGCAGAAGTATTTTTATATAGTTAATGGGATTTAATATGAGAAATTTGCTGAAATAAAATACAAGCAAAATCTTCATACCCTTTAAAAAGCAAAAGCTTAGAGATATTTGTCCTCATAACTTTTGTTCTGAAGAAACATGAACATTTTTACATGAAGTTGAGTTTAAAATGCTAGCAAGAAACTGACTTAAATATGAATGCATAAGAGAATTGATTTGGGGGAGAGGGAAGTTTATTGAAGGCTACTTTACACTTTAACTAAGATCCATTTGTGAATACCGTTTACTGAAATTTCTTGCAATAATAAGAAAATGCATAAAGAGTATCCTGCCATTCTTTGCATAGAATCCAATGCCACTTGCATCCACTGCAATAGTCTTATTCACTGTGTTAATCACCTGGTTCGTAACAGCAAAAAAACATGAAAACTGTGGGCATTCATCATCAGATACGTGAAACTTGTGGTGACAATACAAAGAATAACAGTAAAGCGCAAAAATGATTGAGATTGCCCAAAGAAGGTCAGAAAAAAAGCCCATTACAAATAATGCTGTGGTAGTCATCAGGAATCGCTGAGTTTTAGCACCCAAATTCATGTAAATAGGAAATTTTAGCGAATGGCAAGGAGAAATGAAGACCACTTTTTGAGAACTGAAAACAGCAGTGAGTAACTAGTTATCATGACAAGCAGCAGAATTCCATGTGCAAGGTCCCTAAAACTCCTAGTTCATCTTGATAAATGCACAAATCAACAAGAAAATTATGTAGAATACCAAATTTTTGTAAATTCAGGAAATAACATTGATTGTATTGTAAAACGAGCCTCATAAAACAAATAAATAAATAACACTTGTATTTAAATTAAAATAACATTTAAGCAATAAAATGCAGAAATATTTAAATAATAACAATTAGGTAACAAAATATTGAATATGTATTTTAAATTATTCTATCAATTAGAAACTGTAAAAATTTGAAAGAAGTCTAGTGACAGTTGAAAGTCGAAAAGAATACTTAAAGATTTTATGATTAAATAAGCACGGAATGGCAGAAATTCCAATTACTTGAACTTACTACTGCTATTTTATACTTCATTGACATTAGCACAGCTGCCTAGATGCAAAGGAGTAGCAAAAGTTAATTAAAAAGTCAAAATGCACAGGTTCAGTCATCATTGCATTTATTCATATTTCCATAAATATTACTAGATATTTCTCATTTTAATGGTTACAAGACATGCAATACATAACTGTAATATTGGTTAAAAACATGCTAGGAATATTACCAATAGTTATTAGCATTTATACAAAGGATCTCTTTAGCAAAATTCACAAATAAAGTATGAATATGCCTTGGACTACATTAATATTAGAAGATAATAAGCCATACATTTTTATAACAATACATGATTTCACTGCATAAATTACAAAATAAAGCAGTAACAAAATGCACATTATACATACCACAATCCAGTTCATCAGAGCTATCGGCACAGTCCGGCCTTCCATCACATCTTCTGCGTTCATCCACACATTGTCCATTTTTACAACGGAATTGGCCCTTCTCACAATCCACTAAAAAAGGAAATTAACAAAATGTTCTTTAAGAGAAATAATATTATATTATTATAACAAATAAAAAATTCAGAAAAGCACAAAAAATGTAATTGTCTTGGGTGCCATTTATAATAAATCAGTATAATAAAATTACCTGGACAATCAGCTTCATCTTCACCGTTTGGACAATGACTTCGACCATCACATCGTTGTCTTGATTCTATACACTGACCATTGTTGCATACATATTCTCCAACACCACATCGACCTACGTTTTAATGGGAAATTAAAAGTATTTGCTTATAGTAAATAAATACTAAATAATATGTAAATCTGCAGTTCATACATTCACTTCCGATAGTGCAGTTGTGTATGATTGGAGTTACTTGAGTTGAAGAGCCAACCAACGCTCTGGTGCGTAGCATGGGGTGGGGTGGGGTGATGTCTCAGGTGCAAATTACACACTAGTGCAGGAAAAGCAATATCTCATTATTTATTATCAAGTTCATTTGGCATTACGTTTTGAATATGTATGCTGGCATTGATGTGGAGTAAAGGTTAGAAACTAAAATGTATGCAGTTTGAAATGAAAATTAAGTTTCATTTCACGCAAAGATCATACATGAATAAGATTCTGAAATATATAGTTTGCAATAATAATATCATTGTAACTATTTATGTATAATAAATTCATTTTTAATATATATATTTGTTTGTGATATAGTTTCATACAAAAATGATGTATATTGTTACCTGTTTTGACTCATTTTTAAATGCCATGTGGCATTGCAGAAATAATATTATCCCAAGTACCAATCATGTGTTGGCATGTAGCCATAAAAGTCTATGCTTAGAAGCTTAGTAATCAGTGTGGTCCACATAATAATTTTTTTATTACCTCTTAAATCACATTCCTCATAATAATTGAGTTGGCATATTGTTACAATCTATTTCTATGGCAGAGCATTAACTATCAACACAACCTCACATGACCAGAAGCAATAGTGTTAAATAAATATGAAAATAACAATTTTTGATAAGATGAACAAAATTTGAAAATATTTAAAAAGCTACATAAAACATTTACTACAGAAGAGTATAAATATAATGGCAGTTCTCACAGTTAAGCACATAAAATTTATATACTTTATTTTTCCAGAATCTGACACATTCTATTAAATCTTAGTATCTCATTGTAGGCAGATAATCCTCGAGGCTTTGCCATAATCTCGTAAAAACCCAAACCAAAAAAAAAAAAAAAAAAAACTTACTAGCTCATTCTAAGCTTAAATACGGCAAGCAGACTGACTTCCAGTATTTGAGTACACTTTTATAACATCCCACCATGGACAACGCAGTGGCCGACCACCTGCACTTAACGACCGAGACCAGCGACGTCTGCGTATGCTAGAGTTGTCAATGTTCACAGACAAGCAACACTGCGTCAAATAACCACAGAAATCAATGTGGGAGGTACGAGGGATGTGTCACGTATAATTTTTACTTATATAACAGCATTTTAAGTTGATAAAAAAGAAATAATAAAATTGGATTGATTTTTTAGGATAGTTAATATATATATGCAAGATTAAAAATATGAAAGCAAACTTCTAAATTTAATTCACTATAACATCTTATTTTTTTATTTCATTTGGAAACTTTATTGCTGTATCCTAAAAATAGCGCTGTAAGTCTAAACAACATCATTCAAATTAAACATGTGATCTTACATAACCCTTAATGCAGATGCCTCTTGACCAATCACCAAATTGTAAACCAAAACTAGAAACAAACTTACGACTCCCTCCCTTTTTTCTATGCACTAATGCGTCACTTTTGCTTGTGCTTTCCTTTTCGCGAGATGCTTTACTGCAATCATGTATGGGTTGCTATATCGCTTCTATGGCAATAATATCAAAAATTGTAAATGTTTTTTAATAGGCACGAGCAGAGTGCCAAGTAATTGTGGCCCCAAATGGGAATTTAAATAAATAAAAAAGGAATGTAATCCATCTCGACTGCTTCTTCTTCAAAATGGATGGACGCCCTAAGCATCAAGTATCTACGCAACTTCAGTATTTTTGCGCGTTTACATCTCAGTTTTTTCATTTCAGTGCCTCCAAAATTGTTTTGTCATTACATTCTTCAGACAGCTCTAATTATGAAAAAAATCTACACGAGTTTGTTAAGCTATGTTCACAGTGAATCATGGGAAAAGTCCTGTTTCACCGAAAATTTTAATGCAAGTTTGTACCGTATTCACGATCAAATCATTCATCTCGTGTCATCGAACCAGTTTCATTACATATATGTATATATATATATACATATTCAGAAATATCTTTAACCTTCCAATCATCCTAATGATTTAAAAACCTCAAAAATTCAATGAAGAAAAGGATTTTCTTGATCATAATTTCAAAATGCCCATGCCATTTTAAACGCAGATTCTTTTTCTTCTTATAAACATCCTTAACTCTTACTGAGTATTATAAAGTGCATAGACATACGCAAATTACTTAGGATTGTCAGTAAAAATATTATACAATGTAATGTACACTGAAGTGACTAAAGTCATGGGATACCTCCTAATATTTTGTCGGTCCTCCTTTTGCCTGGCGAAGTGCAGCAACTTGACGTGACATGGACTCAACAAGTCGTTGGAAGTCCCCTGCAGGAATATTGAGCCATGCTGCCTCTATAGACGTTCATAATTGTGAAAGTGTTGAGGGTGCAGGGTTTTAGGCACGAACTGACCTCTTGATGATGTCCCATAAATGTTCGATGGGATTCATGTCGGGCGATATAGGTGGCCAGATCATTCGCTGGAATTGTCCAGAATGTTCTTCTAACCAATTGCAAACAATTGTGGCCCGGTGACATGGCGCATTGTCATCCATAAAAATCCAATCGTTGTTTGAGTACATGAAGTACATGAATGGCTGTAAGTGATCTCTAAGTAGCTAAATTTATCCATTTCCAGTCAATGATCGATTCAGTTGCACCAGAGGACCAAGTCCATGCCATGTTAAAACAGCCCAGACCATTAAGGTACCACCACCAGCTTGAACAGTGCCTTGTTGACAATTTGGGTCCATGGCTTCGTGGGGTCTGCGCCACACTCGAACCCCACCATCAGCTCTTACCAACTGAAATCATGACTCATCTGACCAAGCCACGGTTTTCCATTCGTTTAGGGACCAACCGATATGCTCACGAGCCCACGAGAGTTGCTGCAGACAATGTCGTGCTGTCAGTAAAGGCACTCGAGTCGGCCTTCTGCTGGCATAGCCCAAGGAAGACAAATTTCGCCGCACTGTCCTATCGGACACGTCCCTCATACCTCCCACATTGATTTCTGTGGTTATTTGACGCAGTGTTGCTTGTCTGTGAACACTGACAACTCTATGCAGACGTCGCTGGTCTCGGTCGTTAAGTGCAGGTGGTCGGCCACTGCGCTGTCCATGGTGGGATGTTATGCCTGAAATTAGATACTCTGGCACACTCTTGACATGTGGATCTGGGGAATGTTGAATGCCCTAACGATATTCCGAAATGGAATGACCCTGCGTCTAGCTCCAACTACCATTCCGCGTTTCAAAGTGTTAATCTCGTCATGCGGCCATAATCACGTCAAAGCCTCTTCACATGAATAACTTGAACACAAATGAAAGCCCTGCCAAAGCACTTCGTATTTATACATTTTCTATGTGATACTACTGCCATCTGTATATTTGCATATTGCTATCCACGACTTTTGTCACTTCAGTGTATATGAACAGACTGGCTGGTTGGAAGGTTAAAGCAATCTTCAGTACTTAACTTACTGCATATGCTTTCATCATCTCCATCTTGACAATGTACAATGCCATCACATTTTATAGTTTGGTTTACACAGGTTCCATCACGGCACGTGAAATCAGTAATACGGCACACTGGTTTGATTTCTATTAAAGAAAAAAGTAAACTAAATGAAGATAATTATTCTTAACCATTTCACTGGTGAAACTGAAAGGATCTAAAACATCTCATTAAAATAAATAATAAAATTCTTTTATACTAAAACAAATTATTTTTAAAAGCAGATCCATTTGTGCAGCAAATAAAATACAACGCAACATGTGTAAAATAATTTATAAAATATTGATTACTTAAAATTAAATTTCAAATTATGTTCATCTATATTATAAAATAAAGAACTTGTCAATGAGTATACGAATTCATGATACCGTAGAAGGGCAATCATACCTAGAACCGCTAAATTTTGAACACATGTAGTCCTGCATCTGAACATGTGTACTTTGAAACTAAAATTTTGAAATTTGATTTTTATTTATTTAATTTATGTTTTGTTCCAATTTAATACCTTTTTAATATTTTTCCCTTTCCAGAGATTGCATTTAGTCATTGCACAATTCAAATTACAGACATTTCTCTTTCAAACAAAGAGTTTCATTTTCATATTTTAAAAATAGCATTTTTTAAAATTGTTATAAAAGAGATCTCAGATTCTGAAAATTGCTTTTAATTGCAGATTACAAAAACTAATGACTACAGAAAAAATATTCACTGAAAAACCAAAACATTATGACCACCTATCTAAAATTTTGTTGGTCTACCTTTAGCTTGGACAGCAGTGACATGGCATGGACTTGCTGTACTTCTGGTATGTGTTTGCAGGCAGAGCATACTGAATGTCTAGCCACAGGTCCCTCAGATCATGTAAACTGCATTATGAATTAGAAGAAGCCATCTCGTATATGTTCATTTAGATTGACATCTGTGATATTAGACAGTTAGTAAAGGAGGCTCAAACTGAGGCATGCTCTTGAAACCATGTGGACACAAATCTTAAAAGCTTATAACAGAAAGCATTGTCTTGCTGGAACGGTCTACAACTGTTAGGGAAACAGATGCCATGAACAGACATAACCAGTCCTCAGTGGCATTCATGTAACTCAAAGCTTTCATGGTTTTGTATATAACAACCATAATACTTGACTGACCATGCAAACTTTTTCCAAAACATAAATGAATTACCACCACCCTAAACCTGAGTTGCAGTTGCCTTGCAATGAACTAACAGCTGTTTCCCAGCCAACCAAGAATTCTGACCCTGTAATCGACATGATACAAAAGAAATCAGGTTTCATCTTATCAGATTACAAATTTTAGTGTTTAGTGGCTGATCATGAGCCCAGTGCAAATATAAATGAAGATGACATGATGTCAGCAACAGAAACTCCGTATGTCAGTAGCAGTAGACATCCATTCAATAAACTATTCAGTACTAAAAACATCCATTCAATAATGTGCTCTGAAACACTTCTGCTTTGCTTTGCATTAAAATAAGCAGCCAATTTGGCAAGAAAGCGGCTCTGATTGTATTTTATCAAATGTGACAGCCTATGGCACCCACTGTCTTTAAGGAGGCATGGACAGCCAACATCTTGCCATATATTGCTTGTTTTACTACTATCAGTATGCTATTTCCATAGATACTAACTACAGCAGCACATGAAATGCTTTGTTCAACACATCAAGCCATGATAATCTACCTCTGCCCTATGTTGAACTCGCTAAAATCTCTGACTTTACCCAAGACAACAACAGAAAACAATCTGATTGATAACTGTGATTTCCTTCCAACAGATTTAATATATCTTTTCAAAGTCATTACATGTGCTTTATTGTCCAAAGATACCAAGTAGCTCCGAAGATTTGAAAACTGGTGGCCATGTTTTTATATTCACTGTATCTCATCTTAAAACTAATTTTAAGATAGTATATATATATACGGAATATCAATGAATATATGAATTTAATAATACCCTTTGACCACTAATAATGGTGTTATAGAAATTAGCATATGTATAAAATGAATAAATCAGATATGTCAGTTTGGTATAGGAAAGTTACTTTCAGTATGGAGTATGATCTCCCCTAGAAGCAATTCAACACATACAGTGATGTGCAATGCTGTCAACTATGCAGTCTATTATGAGAGCCATTGCAATTGCAAGCATGGCAAGGGTCTGAAGAAGAGGATTGAGAGCTGCTATACATCTTCCTAAAGCATTCTAAACATGCTCAATAGGATTCAAGTCTGGTGATCAAACAGGCCACTCCATGGACCAATTTGTTTTTTGAAGATATTCATCCACGATGCGAGATCTATGTAGTCTAGCGTCATACTCCTGTAGCAGGAAATTATAACCTTTTGCCCTGGCATAAGGGTGCACATACGCATTAAGGATGTCATCTCTATATGCCTGAGCATTCATGGTTCCTGGTGGAAAGACTTAAAAATCTGTGCATCCACCCAAAGAGATACCAACCTAAACAGAGACATTGCCTCCTCCGTATGCATCTCTCATGAATGCTTGATGGGTGATAACTGATTCCATGTCCTCTCCAAATCAAATAATGCCTCCTATCGCTTTAAATGCTAAACTTGGACTCGTCCATAAGAAAAACAGCCCTCCACTGATCACCCATCCAGTAGATATGTTGGCGTGCGCTACTCAAATGTTCTCTTCTATGATGTAAAGTGAGCTGCAGACAAATGGCTGGTCACCTTGCATACAGACCTCCTTCATGAAAATTTCTATGCATGGTTGATGTTGACATCAACCTTCCAGTGACTGCAGCAAGGAATGATCTAAGCTGATTCGAAGTTGATAATCTATTCCTTCATGCGCATTACAACAAATATCGGCCTACAGCACTCGTCGTAGCAGTAGGCCATCCTTGACCGAACTTCCTGGATGCCAAATCTGTGGTTAGAAATTATTGCCATTATTATTATTATTAAGTCTATCAAAACAGAAGGAGTCACATTTAGCCATTTGGCCACTTCTGTCTGACTTTGACTTGCCTCTAGTCTCCCAATAGTTCTCCATCGCAGTTCTTCAGGCAAATGATGCCTGGAGGTGATTGTTACAAATTGGCTATCCTAGATTTCATATTTCAACATTATAGCAAAATTTGCAGGCTTGCTCTTAAACATGCAATTTTATTTTCCATGCAGATGATGTATTTTGACTGCAATGCCACTAATTTGTATGGTACTGTTTTACTCAGCAATTCTCATTTGATAACATATTCAAATTTTATAGAGATTGGCTTATTTTTGAATGAATTATCACTATTTTTGTGATTTTTCCATAATTTTGGAAACCAGTGCATTAATAGATTAAAAGTTCAATGTTACTGGAATTGGAAGCTTTTAAAATTTAAAAAAATGAAATTATCAAGTACCACAGTTGACTTCATCAGATCCATCTCTACATTCAAATTCTCTATTGCAGCGAAGCTTGATGTTGATACAAGATCCATCATTGCAGCGAAACTGATCATCAGCACAAATTCCTTAAATGCCAGATTTATATAAATAATTATTATATTCAAAGTCAGAATCAATAAAACTAAAATTAAAAGATTCCATATTAATACTCAGATAGTTAACACTTACCACAACCAGCCTCATCTTCACCTCCAGTACAATCTTTATTACCATCGCAACGCTGTGCGATGTTCAAGCACATACCATCACTACATCGATACTGATCAAAACGACACTGATTTGTAGGCCTACCTATATAAAAATTATACAATATTCAATGAACAGGAAAATCGTTCTTATTACTACTAGATAGAGATTAAAAAATTCAAGATATAATGGAATGTTTCATGAAGTGAAAATTACTAAATGTTTTAGAATTTTAAAATATGTATTACCTCTCAGAAAAAATTATTTATATTATTAACAGAGATTAAGAATGGGATAATGATGATTTGGCTGGCAATCCAGCCACAGAATTTCCTCACTTTGAAGATGTTTGCCCATCAGTTGAGCCCTAATGTAGATAAACATTATCATTCATGAAAGGGGGTTAATTGCCACCCTAAAAGTCAACCCTATTTGTTGAAGGAACAGAACTGAGTCTCGGGTTTTCTCTAGATAACACAATGCTAAAAACATGTCTCCATTGAATCTAGATGTGCCACTGAAAAGAATTTGAGTCAACTGAAACTAGGTTCAAGAATAATGTTCTCTCAAAAAATCTCAAAATATCAAAAAATTTCACATGCTATTGCACTTTTATGGATCGAGGAATATACAAGTACTCAAGATGTATCGAATGTTTGTGTGGAACAAACTACTGTATTAGTATGCCATTCAAACATCATGCCTTCAGGTAAAAAATGCTCTATGTGATTCTTTGAAACTAAAGTTAACAATAGTAAGTCACAAAAGGACTGAAACAATCTTCTGGAACCTGTCTAAAAGTGCATATTATTGATCTTTATTGGGCATCATAGCTGATGGGTACCTTTTCCAGATCTTTACAACATAGGCTTGATCTCCTGAACCAGTATCCAGAAACTGAAGAAACAGAGGCATTAAACCGAGTTCTCTTGTAACCTGTACATGATTGCACTGACAGTTTACTAATAATACTCCACCTAATCCTGTAAGCTAAACCTTCATAGTTATTCATTTTACAATACCGATATGTACGACGCTTACGAAATTTCACAAACTTTTATTACAAATGCTAAGAAATAAAAAACTACTCAGTTACTTAGTTGGAAATAATATGCTCCTTTTATGACTTTTATTCATGCTTCAAAATTTTTTGCCATACACAAAGTCACTATAAATATAACATGCCAGCTTAGGCCCATTATATGAATTTATCTGAATTTGGCAAAAAATTAAATAAATCTTTTGAGACTAAGTTTTAATTTAAAGCATCAATTTATATGCTAGAAAATATGTTATATCCAAGTAATATTTTTATGAATATTTGCAGCTTTATTTTAATTAATAAAAGATGTGTCTAATGCCATATGTTGTATAACTGGTCAAGAATCTTTTTATTTTTATATACCTTACATTGCTTTATGTTTAGAATTTCTAATGGCAAATTCTTCTTTGAAGTATAGATTGTAATCTGAGGTTTTTAGATAGTGCTGAGCATTATTAGGAAAGTTTCCTTTGAACTTTCCTTTAATTATTAGCAAGATATTTTTGTATCTGCATTTAAATATTAATTAGATTTGAGTAATTACTTTATTCTTTGTTTTCATTACACCCTGTCCATGTCATGTAATTTATAAAACAAATGACATGTAATTCATAAAACAAAATAAGAAAATAAAACATTTTAAGTAACAAGGTAATATATATATCAAGTCACAACAAATCTGATGACCAATTAACACATTATACTACAGCCCCGTGAAAACACAGGTTTCGAAGTCTATCGCTTGAGCACCGGCCGCGAAAACATGGTTTCGAGGTCTTCGTTTCAGCGCCAGCCCTGCGATAATGCAACATTCTTTTATTTGACGATTAGTTTGCTCTCGTCATGACTCATCGATCTGCGCTTTTTATTACGTCGAAAAAAAACTGTATACATGGTTTCTACAATACATTCGGGAGAACTAACAAACACAAAAATAGTACATTAGGAAAACAAAACAAGAAATTATAAAACCTCAATCGGTCATAGATTATAACAAATATATGATTGGCGTAGATTTGGCTGATCAGTTTTTATCATATTTTTCCATTATGAGGAAAACAGTGACATGGACAAAAAAACAGTTTTGTTTCTTTTAAATTGTGCATTGTTCAATGCATATAGATTATATGTTGAGTTCAATGGCAACACTATAAAATATCAAAAAATTTCACATGCTGTTGCACTTTTATGGATTGAGGAATATACAAGTACTCAAGATGTATCAAATGTTTGTGTGGAACAAACTTCTGTATTAGTTCCTACACATCGCACATCAAAATATGATCACCCTCAGAGACTGTCAGGGTGATATGAAGAAGCATACCGTTACTCGAATTATTGGATGTGGGAACAAAACCGATTATGTACGATGTCCATGCAAAGTTTGCTCTGCTAGCAAAAAACAGAAGTGCGAGAGTAGCTTTATTTGGTTCTCTATGTCCTAGTACCTATACATCTTTGGAAAACATGTTTGAAAAATACCATACATCCCTTAAATATTAATATTTTTCTTTCTGTTTATATTATATATATATGTAATATTCAATCATCAAATAAAACAGGTATATTTTTTTATAATTATATATTAATTTTTTTTTATTTTGCTCGTTAAATTGCATATAACGAATATGCAAACCAAATTTAGTGTTTTACGATAATGTATAAAATTTTTAACATTGTCTTCACCTATTCATTGGTTGCCAACAAGCGAATCAGGCTGGTGCCCACGCTTTAGGCGGTCAACACGGTTCCGGCGATCAGACTTTAGTTGTCTCGGATGCCACCAGCGTATAATGTGTTAAAAGTGGTCATGTTCCTCAGATATACGTCATTTTTCACTGGCATATATGCATCCCACAGATATGCAGTTATTGCATAATGGCAATATTTTTATCATTCTTTATGAAAAGTCCACAGCGATTAGATATTTTGTTAAAAAAAAAAATTCTGACAATGAAAGTCTCATGGGAAGCTTACATTCACAAAGAAATATGGTAAGAATTTGTGAATGTCAATGTAACTATAATTTATCTGTGATAAATATTATATTGCCATGACTTGTAAAACAATAATTATAAAAAAGTTTAATAAAAATCAGTGACTGAAAATTAGAAACTCTATACTTATACAGATATGCAATATCTTCTATATGTGTTGTAAAACTTTCTACTCCTAAAAAGTCTATATGTCCTCTTCATACCAAATTAGTTAATTTCTGCCTCATATAACATGACTAACATAAAATCTTGTGTATAAATTGTTCAAAATATTTTTCTCATTATTAAATTTATGTAGTTCTCCAATTTCAGTTACATTAACAATTCAAATACTTATATATGATTTAGTGATTAAAATACAATCATAATAATACCTAGTAGTAGTAGTATGAAAGAAATTAACTGTATAATTTAAGATGAAAATTACAGAAGTTGCTGTAATTGAAGTAATTTAGCATGGTTTTGCGAATGAGTTATAAAAAATTAATTTGATGAAATGTTACTGTTGACACAATCTCAAAATCAAATATGGGTTTTGGGGGGAAAAAAAACAGAAACAGATAACTTAACAAAAATCAAGTTATAGCTTTCACATGATACATTCTCATCGTCTAACCAATACAGCAATTAACAAAAGTTTCTTCCAGGTTAAAAAGCCCAGGTTTTGAGCCTTGAAGACCTTGACATTTATGAATGAATTTTTGCAAAGAAGAGGAATTTGAGATCAGTCTGTCACAAAATTCTCTACGGAATTGATGCAAGGGAATGAGGAATGTAATAGCCTACATGAGGATTGGAAAACAACCCTCTTGATGTTCTGAGTCAAAAGTAGGATGCATTTGGTTAAAAAGCTATTGCCATCACCGATACCAAAGGTAAAGTGTGACTTTCATTGATAGAGTAATTAAGTGCAAAATGAACAATCACAGTATAAATGCATTCACTCATGATTATTAAAAATATCAGCCCCTTATGACAAATACTGAGGCTCCCTATAAACAACAGTGCAATAATTTTTTCACATGACACTTAGAAAATATGTATCTCTTCATTTTCATAAGTGCAAAACATAGAAAAGAAACCAAAAAATGCATTTAGATGGAACAGTATAAAATGTAGATTTGAAGTTTTCTAGTGCTGTTTAACCCTTTCATGACAAAAAGTACAAATGTGCATGTACCTCTGAGGCTGGCTAATTCTTTCATGAGTGTCTCTCCAGAACTGAAGGGCTTTCCACTACTAAGCTTAAATCCATGAAATTACAGGAAGATGAACACTCTGTTTAAATAATGCTCTGCAGGCACATATGTGGTACATGTTTTATATACTTTTTATTTACATATTTCATATAATTAAGTTTTTTTAATATTTCAATCTTGTACATTAATTTTTTTCTGGTATTTACTTCATAACTTGACTTTTAGTGACTTTTGACATTACACATTTGATAATTAAAACATTTCAGTTAAAATTTATTTTTAGTGTGATAAATTTCAAAGCAGGGATCTACACAAAGTCCTATATTACAATTCTTGCATTCTTAATAGCTCATTTACCTTTTTTGGAATATTTTTGTGGTAATGTGAATAGCAAAGCATCACCATTGCACTTTCTGAGAATCTGCATTTGAACAAAGCACTTCCTGTCTATCTTTGAAAACAGTTTTTCATTTTGGATGGTGGAAAATTTTTAATCATTCCTTTTCTTCTCCTCATTAAAGTACCACAACTATTTGTTACTTGATCAGTGTATAATATGATACCCTTTACTAGAAAATTGTTCAAGTAAAGACTTAACTCTTTTATCATATAATCTTGAAATTTCTTTTTAATTCTGTTTCTTTTCCCATACAAACAATACCGTTACAGATATAACCTGATTTAGATCCACATAATTTGTTAAAAATTTTCATTGCCTCAACATTGTAATGCTCAAAACAGAAATATATCACATACACAAGGTATAATTCTTGATTAGAAACTGGACTGCAAACCTAAACACCCAATGCCTAGGGGGGGGGGGAAAGAAAAAGAAAGCAAGAAAAAAAGAAAAAGGGGGAAAAAACACCCATTGCAATCATTAAAAAATACCATATCCACATTTAAAGAAACATCCAACACTCAAAAAGAAAAAATATATATATCATAACATTTATCAATAAATACCACTTGCACATTTAAAGGGTCCTTAGAAAGCCTCCATCAAAACATGCCTTTCAACTTACATTTATATAATAAAAAAATCTTAGTGCTTGTGACTCATCCTTTGTCTCATTTCAAGTAGGTCAAATCTACAGGCATCCCAAATTATATGGATATTCCAAAACTCTTGACATGAATGCACGAAGGGCGAGGGTCATCTGTCGCATTGGTGTGCCAGCTGAGAAAAGAGTATGTTTCATGCTGGCACATCTGCATGAACGTGAAAGAGTTAAGATGTATTCTTAAAATATCAAATTCCACGATAGGAATGGTTCTTCAATGAAATTTTAGGAAGTTTTAGCATTACAGAATGATAAGATAAAACTTATTTCTAGCAGTATTTTGAAATTTAAATTTCAAAGGGATATATTGAAAAAGGGATTTATTTATTTGAAATAATATGAAAAAGGTTTTGACTTGAAGAAATGTTTTAAAACTCACGGCAATCTATCTCATCGGAACCATCTGGGCAGTCATACTTCCTATCACAGTGTGCAGATGATGGAATACAAGTTTTACCATCCAAACACTTGAATTCATCAGCTTCGCACTCTTCACCTGTGTTCATTATAAGAATCAGATTAAGAACTTTTTTAATCAAAAACTGAAATTTATTATCAAAGAAACAAAACTTACGACAATCTTTTTCATCAGATGAATCTTGACAATCATTATAGCCATCACATCTTCTCCTCATGTCAATACAGAAATGATTTTCACACATAAATTTATCAGCTGGGCAGGCTATGAAATATTAAAATATATATAACATATATGCAGCCTTGACTGATGGTTATGAAATACACTATTAAAAAAGTGGAAAAAAAAGAGAATATAAATTTTTTTTTAAAATTAAGTTTTGCTACATTTGTAAAACTTACGTTTGTGCTCTTTTCCTTAACATTGTAAGCAAGGAAGAAAAACAACAGTTACAATAATTACAAGAAAAGAAATGATCTATTTTGTTTTTTCATATAAACTAATAAATTATACTGTAATGAGATAGATTTGACAGAATATGATACTCAATAAAATAAAAATCCATTCATTAGAAAACCTTATATGAAAAAGTTCTGACAGAAGAACTCTGTGTTAAAGATTTATTTAAATGGGAAAAAAAATAAATCTTTTCAAAATATATAACAAAAACTAACCTGGCCTCCGTCTGCCTTTAGCATAGGAGAAAAAAAAAACATTATTGCAAATATATATGAGAAAAGCAACACTTATCCAAAATACAGTTTAGATAATTACTGAAACAACACTTGGTTGTGGTATTTAGATTTATATACACTGACTGCATAAAGTGATTTTTAATCCAAGTACAATATAATTAACATAAAAAATTAGTGTATATCTACTTTATTTCTAGTTTAAAGATAAAAATGAGAAAACAAATTTATTTACTAAAAAAGTATGTATACAGTATACTCTACAAACAGTATACCTCTGAAGTGATTAGTATTTCTGACAACATAAGTAAACATTGGGACAGATAATTATAAATTACTCTCCAAGATGCTTATTGCCTAGTTTGACAAAAATACATCAAATATGCATTAAGGCATCCACTGAATTAAATAATATATGTACTATCCAAACCTTCGGAGAATTTACCCTGACATTTCCACACCAAAAGATTTTTTTTTTTTTTTTTAAATTTGAAAACCACAATATTATTTGCCATTCAGTTGTTAAGAAAGAGTAATTTTTTGTCACAAATACTCATAGGCACCTTTTAAAGAAATAAGATTTCACACATACAGATCTTAAATAAGATCTATATGTGGAATCTTATTTAAGATCTATATGCACAAATCTATAATAATAATGATCTTAAAGTATCATTATTATACAAAAACTATTATTATGTATTATTATTATGTATGCATAATGCATATACATATGCTTAATTTTTGGACTTAGAAAGTCATTTACAATTTTTAATATCAGCATCACAAAGTCCTATATTTAAAATTTTCAGTGATTCAGTAGAACATGCAGATGAATTCAGAATATTTCTTTTGAGGAGGTAGTCTAAAAAACTACAAAAAGCATGAAATAGTGTGGATGATATAATGAAGTGTTTTTAGTAGTACTAATTACAGGTTGCCCACAACTTCTAATAATAAATTTTAATCTTGATAAAAATGAAGTCACAGAGTTAGGTCAATTATTAATATGACTCGAAAAAGTGGGAAAAAAACTATGATGGCAGAAGAAGAAATCTTGGCAGTTCTCTTAAATGAAGCTATGAGTTATATAATTACAACAACAATGTTATAATCTAGTAATAAATAAGATCACAGATTTTCTTCATAAAGTTCAACTTGTTTAAAAAAAACTATTATTTCATTAAAAGACAAAAATTAACTCTATGACATCTATGAATGATTACAGCAGTAATTTAAAATTTGTTCAATAAAATTCATAATGTGACGATTTTGTATTCAGCCCCTTCACATCTAATATCTATTTCCTGCATTTGAAACATTATTCACTAACAGTATTTTATAAAATTAAGCATACCATAATTTCTGGAAAAAATGCCATGGCGTTTTTTCGAGAAAAAAACTTAAACTTTCAGTGGGTTTTGGCATTTCTACTAATGCAGCACTTATGCAGACTTAAAAATATATCCCAAGATGTTACTAAAAATAGCTTAGATTACCTTGGTGCTGCTCCCACACAAAAGGCTACCCAGCTACTTTCTGTGAACATTACTGCATTTATATTTTTTCCCTTGAATGGACCTACATACTTTTTCACCCTAAACAAGATCTTGGAATAATTACATTCTTCCTCCAATCAAATCAGCATTCACATCAGTTTAAACAGCCAATGTTATTGTTCCTTAATTAGTTTTCCAGAACCCATTATGTCCCCTCTTTTTTCTATTATAAATATATTACGGTCCTTTCCAAGACGACCAGATTCAACTTGCACTGCAATAGTTAAAACCTATGTATTTTTTCTTTCTCCCCTTCAGCACATATCTATTTTTGGCATTTTGCCAGCTACAGATCCTATCAGCTTCAGCATAAGAACCTGTTAGATAGTTTTTAAGAAGGAAGCATAATTTTTAAATGGCACCTAAATGGAATAGAAGCTATACAGATAGTTTTAAGCTTATAGTGTAATTTCCCATGCTGAACAAACTGGAAACAGAGCAACAGCTTGAGAATAAAGTGAAGAAGTAGTGTATTTGATGCTGGAGAACTGAAAAAGAACTTGAAAATATACTACAACAGAAACGAGCCAAAAGAAATGGTACTATAAAATGATCAAATTTAGAGGATGACCTTGCAAAGTGGAAAAAGGAACAACAAGGAAAGAGAATGGCAATTCTGACTATAAAAATTTGCTTACAAGCAAAATTAATAGTGCAAAAATAAACATAAATGACATCAAAGGAGGGCTTTGCTGGTGTAGCATAATTATGATAAGAAAAATATTTTTGTGCTTATTAGAACAACAATCAGGCAGCAATTACCAATAGACTGGCAGGATAAAAAAGCATTTTTTTCTAAAATATGCAACATAAGATATTCTTAATGAGAAAAAAATTCTTTGTTCGCAGATAATAAATATGAATGAAACAGCATTAACTTCTGATTCTCCTGCAAAAAGAACTGTTGATGAAACTGGTGGAAAAACTCTATCCATGTTTATGTTGAGACATGAAAGAACTTAATTTACATGTGTGTTAGCTTGTGCTACAAAGTGACAAGCTAAATCTGATTATCATTTTTAAAGGAAAACTATTCCATGGAGATATTTTCCTGATGATGTAATTAGTGCAAATGAGAATTTATGGATGTGCAAAACAATCATGCATGAATAGCTAAAATAATTACAATATAGTTAGGGATTTTTTTTTTTAAAAACCAAAAGATTGTTGATAATGGACTCCATGCCTTCTCATTTACTTGATTCAGAGAAAATCCAATATCAAAAACTGCCTATGACCTTAACAATATTTCTTGGTGGCTTAACAAAAATCTTATAGCCATTAAATTTGTCAGTTAATAAACCTTTCAAAGCTGAAGTATGAAAACAATGGAAGTATTAGACGAATGAAGGATTGTACACTTATGCCAAAAGTGAAAAAATACGGACAGCATATTGTGAAAAAGTTTCAAAATGGGTACAGAGTGCATGGAAATCAGTGAAAATATTGTCAATAATGTCAAGATTCAAACAAGCGGAAACTATATCCCCAGATAAAGAGACAAACCTAGAGAATGATGACAATCTGTCATACTTGGACTATTTAGATTAGGATTTGCTAAATCTTTTTAATTCAGATAGTGAAGAATCAGATTTGGATGGCTTCATATGATGTTCAGTTTGCTGTATTCTTTTTATTAATAAAAGTAAAATTTTAAATTTACTTCTTTCATTCAATTTAATATCTCGTCGTCATATTTTTTTATAAAATATGAGTATTACATTTACAGACTCCTTTAATGAGTAAATATAAGTACACCCATGAACATCAGTAAATTTTCAACATTTTGTACCTATAACTTAATTTTGAATTATGGTATCATTTCATGATTTTTCTTAACTGATATGCCCCATGGCAGTATCGGGCACAATGTGCAGCATTTCTGCAAAATTTTAGTCTTATTTTGTGTGTGTATGTGTGCACACACTATTTTCTTCGAGTGTAGTGTTTACGCTGATGTGGCCTTTCTCCTGGAAATTACAGTAAATTTTTTAGTCTTCCTCTAACATTATTCATTGCATATCTTCATAATTATACTCAATTTTTATTGATACAACAGTATTAATATGCCAATACACCTTCAGTGTTATTTTAATGGATACCAAGAGTTTTGACGAGGGTAAATTCACTGTACAAATTCTAACCACTATTGTCTATAGTCATCTCCTTTAAGATGACCACTTTTACAGGAGAGTTCCTTAGTTAACAATTAATTGTTAGGATTACAAAGTACATTTAAAGGAGGAAAAATCTATTATAGTCCTTTCAACAATCCATAAACTACCAATAAATATAAAATAAATTATTTTAACAACATGCTTTTTTCATTATCACTATTTATCATTTTTTCTTATGAATACTGAAACTAAGCATATTACTTACGGCAATTCCATTCATCAGAGCCATCTCTGCATTCTTGGCGGCCATTGCATTTAGCACTGGATGGAATACATGTACCATCACCACAGCGGAATCTATCAGCTGGACATGCTGCTATTGCTGAATTCAATTATAAAAACACAATAAGCCAATTTTATTTACAAGGACAAGTCTGCTGACTTTAAATAATTACATAATACAAAAAAAAATATTCTAAATGAGGGATACAGTATCAAATGCGTTACTTTTTAAATTCACAAGATCAATCAATAATAATTAAAAACATACTACACAACTTTTTTTTAATGATACAAAAAACTTCAAGAAGATAATACAATTTTTTTCCAAACTTGTTTCGGCAAATCATTTTTTACTATATCTAAAGCATTAAAAAATGTGAATTTTTAAATTATGCTGGATTATGTGCAAATATACCACAAAGGCATTCTTAACACCTTTTCATACAAATTCTCTCTAAGTAAATATGATGAGTGGGAAATAAATTTGTAAAATGGACCGAAGTAGTTTGAAATCCATAGAATAATAAAGCAAATTATTGCAATTTGCCAATTTACTTCAAGCAATAACAATGTTGTTGAAGTAAAATATAAGTGAATAGGAAAATTTTGTTAAGTAAATTTTGGGGGGGGGATGGGGTAGATATATTTTTATACAGCACTTAAAGCAAACAAAGCATGCACAAACAAACTTTACAAGCTATATATCAAAAATAAACAATACTTTTACGAACTAAGTATTTTGAGACTTTAAGAACGTAACTTCACTAGCAGGAATGTAATAATCTTCAGATCTAAAAATAAGCATTACATTATAAACAACAAATTTAAATTCATATAAATATCCTTGCTCAAAATTATAATTTAAATTATCATGAAGGAAGTATGATCCACCAACAGTACAAGACATTCAGTTTTTATTCTGCAGACTATAAAGAATCCTGGCTTACTTATGCAGCATAACTAAAAAATTCAATAATGATTAATTACTTTTTTAATATGGTTTTCCTACAGCTAAGTTTGTTTAAGTTTTACCACTAATTTACCAACCGTATCCGACCACACAATCATCCAGTGTCTAATTAATAAGGCCCATAGTTGAAACCAGGAATCCAAATTGAAACAGTCACAAATGGTCCAATTCATTCCAATACCTGTTCAACCCAAAACTTCATCCAGAGTCCAATTAGTCACTGTCTGGTAAAGGGTTAATAGATCCGAAAAAGAAAAGTTACATAATATAACTTATAAAATCAGTAGTAAGCTGTAGAACATTAAGTCATCAAGACTGATGAGATTGCTCCATGGTAGGGAATATTACTTCTCTAAGAAAATGTGCCTTTCTACACAAATATTTTTATGTCATGCTAAAATTGAAATTTCCTTTGCTTGTAACTAGTACTGACTTTTATACTCTAACAGCTAGGAAGTTCTACTCATTTGAAATTTTGTCAGTCATTTTAAATAATTCTGCATTTTAAGTATGAAGATTTAGAACTCAAACAAAATACATTTCTTATTAAAACCATTTGATTTAGTTTGGTTAATGGTTTTAATAAAGTTCTTATTAAAACCATTTGAGTTTTTTTTAGCCATATGGCTGAACCACTTACCCAGCAGATATTGGCATGAACTTTATGCAAATATTTGTGAATTTTATGAAGAAAACACTATAAGAGAAAGGGAGTATCTATAAAATAATAAAACAGAGAATTTGCCTGTGCATGTGTGTGTGTACAGTACAATTTATGTTCTAGACTGTTTGTTTCCTGAGTTACAAATGGTGGTGGTTCAGTTATGCTTTGGTCAATTATACTCTGGTTTGTAGTTGATCCAATTATCTTTTTATATGACAGAACAAATATCATTGATTACATAACCATTTTAAGTGACTATATGTATTCAACAATACAGACACTGTTTTCTACATCTTTCAAAATGATCATACCCTTATGTAAAGTCAAATTGTTCAGTCTTCATTTAAGAACACGAAAATGAAAGTATGCATTTCCTTTACCTGCACAATCGCTAGACTTAAATATCATACAGCCATTATGGTATTTACTGGAAAATAAGAGATCCCATTTTTGATCTTCTGGAATATCTAAAAAACTGTGAGTAGTTTCTGATAAAAGTTTAGCATAAAATGCCAACTACAAACTCTCAGACTTTATATGCCTCCATTGCAATTGGATTTCAAGAGTTTAGCATGCCAAATTATGTATAAATTTTTTCCTATTTTTAAATGTTTCCTTTATTTTGAACAATTTCTGTACTACCTGTTTTGACAGGATGCAGTTTGCCTCATGCATTAAAAAAGATAATGTTTCTTTCATGTATAAAAATAATAAAATAGAACTAAATGTCTTTTTATTGATATACTATTAGAATTGAGAAATGCTATCTCTATTCTTATAATATGGCTTGATGAGAAAAGATACAAATAATAAGCATTTTAAATCTACTTTACCACAATCTCTTTCATCTGAATTGTCTTTAGGACAATCGACTTTGCCATCACATAATTTACTCCTATCTAGACACTGTCCAAGATCACACTGCCACTCAGAAGGAAGGCAAGCTATAAGCAAATATATATGTAACACATTTATTGAAATGAAAAGAATTACAGCTTTAATATTACTATATTTTTTTTATAAATATTGTAAAATAAATACCATACAATACATTGAATTACAAAAATAATTGTCATTTAGACCAGGATCATCTGAACATCAGACTATGCTAACATTTGACAACTGACTTTTTATCTATTTATTACAAGATTAAAATGCTCAACCACAAGAATAACTAAAAAAAAAAAAAAAAAAAAAAAAAAAAGGAATGAAAGGATTATTTACATTTTATTGGAAAGTTTCAATCATTCAAGAATGTTTTAAATGTCTTATGACTACCAATGATCAAAATATCAGTGACAATAAACTTGAAAGATCAATTGTAATTTTCAAGTTTAAAATTTAAGGCCCTACAATGGTAGTTTTGAAATCATATTTTGCCATCAATTTGGTTCAGTTAACAGCTTCACATCGAACATTTTAATCCTCTGCCAAAACTATTTCTTATAAAAAATTACACAATAAATAAGAAAAAATATCATATGCCAAAAGAACATTATTTTCAAATGAAAATAAAATTACTGCTTGATTTTAAAATGTGCAAATATTGTGATAATATAAAATATTACAAAAAATAAATATTTGTAACCAGGAAAAACATTTGCACTTCAAATGGCCAGTGCATGAACCTTTGATCAAAGTTTCAGAATCTGAACTAATAAAACATTTTATCATATTAATATTTAGCATAGCAACATCAATAAAATATATTCTTTTACTGAAATCGGATGTATTCATACCATCTCTGGTTATCTTTGCAGATTAAACCAAGCAGTGGTTAACACAAACTCTATACAGAATAACTGAAAATTTTTAATCAGACTTACGACATCCTCTTTCATCTGCACCTGAGCCATCTGGACAATCTTGTCGTCCATCACACCTACGTATTATTTCAATGCAACTTCCATCATCACAACGGAAGTGTTGATCTGGGCAAACAATATTCCCTGTTAAATATTATTTAAAATGTTAGCAATGTTGCAAATGGCACAGAATAAAAATTGCTCTGTATAATTCAATAAAGAAATTTTTGCTTTTGTGGTAGAGATGTTAAAAAAAAAAAGGGAGAGGAAGAATATATATATATATATTAGCACACAGTGCTCCAGAAAGATCCTCCTACAAGGAAAGCTATAATACATATTTTGTTTCTTGAACAGAAGGAATATCGTAAGCAGGATTTGTCAGCACTTCTTTAAACAGAAAATAATTAAGAATATTTTAGAGCCACAAAAAAAAAAAAAAAAAAAAACTGAATAAATTAAATCAATTATATCTGCAACCACCTTGACTACTGCAAGGCCATTTTAATAATAAAGCAGAAATGCATAGCTTGCATGATTATTAAACACAATTTAATATTTAGTATAAAATATGTTTAGCCAAAACAGTTTGAGAATACAATTAATTCCCTAAAAGTTTTAAAGTAGTTAACATTAAAATGTGAATAAAATTTCTTGAAATACTTATAACAGTCATACTTATTTTAAAACAGTCACTATTAAGAAATTATTTTCCTTTTTAAAAATATTTATATAAAAAATCAGTTAAAATACAGTTATCCAAGTGGAACTTTTAAGATCTATGTGAAACTTTTATTATCTAGGTGAAAAGTTACATTCTAGGAATGTACACAAATTATCTGAATATCAGTTTTAAAACAAATTTATGCAGTTCAGTCACACAGTGCAAGTCAGGAAACACAGTGTTTATGCTCCATGATAATCCTACACTCATATTTGATAACTTAAACAATGTGCTAATGTACTTCGGCATTGATACTTACAAATGACCTACCATGTCTCTTCTCCATAAAGTTAAAAGTGTATATAGTATCAACTATTACCTTTGTTAATACCATTTCATGTTGAAAAGGAACCTTATCAATATACTGTGTTATAAACAGAAGAATTACTCTCGAGAGAGAGAGAGAGAGAAAGTATGGAAGATGTATGTAGAGATACATACATCTTCCATAAATGTAGTTCAAATGCTCAAAATTTTTAAAACAATATTATAGATTTAAAATTTCTTACCTTATTCAAAGCATATAAAAATAACAGGAAACATTAATTATATACTATTTTGAGGATGTAAACTAATTTTTATGTTTAAGAAGTAATATTCTAACTTTTTTCTAACATATTTATAAGCAACATAAACATACCTTTCAAATGCTTACTAAATTTAGAAGCAAATATTTTTGTATCAGAGATGTAATAAGACCAAGGAAATGATTCTTATTTTATTAATATTTCCATTTATCTTAATTTTAACTATTTTGGAAATAGTTAAGCTTATTTTGGAAATTATTTTCTTGTAACCCAAGTATTATCCATGTGTTATAAAAGAAAATAAAGCTTTACAATTAAATAAAATTGCTTTTACCATTTTTTAAATATAGGTGTATGTGATACTCCATGCGCCCACTCTAGTAACTTTTCTTGATGCGCCTTCCGATGGGTTAAACAAAGTTTTTAAAATGTACATTAAAAATGTAAAATAATATGGGCAAATTTCAAAAAATATTAAAATAAACATACTGCAAAGTAAGACAAAGATAAATATCGTTTAAATGCAAAATCTGTTAAGACTCTATCAATACACTTTAAAACCAGTAAGAAATAATGTCATAAACTGACACAAATAAAATATAATAGATAGAAATCTACTTCACAAAATGAATTCAAACGACATGCTGAAATAATCACTAAAAGTGCTAAATATTGGAAAACTAATAAAAGGCATTGGGTACATTAATACTTTCTCATTTTACATCAATTTAGATACATACATAAAAAATACACGATCAGAGTACATTTCCAGAAATTTGCATAAAGACATGCTATATTCAGTACATGAATGGAGATTTTTAAATACAGGAAGATCAAATAAATCAGAAATTTGATTAGGAACGTGCTATATTCAGTATGATAGATTTCTAATTAAAACTTTGCTTGAAGATTTTTAAATATAAAAAGATCAACATAAAAGACTAATGTGAAGTTACAATGGAAAGGGATATTACTATACAATTTATTAAAACAGTCAAAATCTGCTATGTATATTGTACTACGCTAATATCAGTTAAAAGATACTTGAAATATTCATGTACAATTGCAAATGAAAGAACACATTACAAAAATTTCTTACATGATTCTCATTTCAATATTTTATAGGAAATATGCAGGCATACGTAAAGCTAAGAAAAAGGTGAATATAACAAAAATGCAATATGCATTCTAAAACTAAAACAGAAATATTCAATGCCTTCTATATAATTGCATATTGCATAAAACTGAATAAACAAATTCCATGCAAAATTCAAATATGCATTGCAAATTTAAGCTTTGCCATTTTAAATTAGCTTTAAGTATTTTAGAGGAAGTACTCATTTTAAAGAAAGTTAAACTATTTTCTTTGCACAAAAAAAAGTATGATATTAATTAAAATACTGAAACTGTGACAAGAGGACAAATTAAAAAGTCATACAATAATTTACCTCGGGATTATAAGACTGCGACCAAAAGGTTTATCATGTAAAATTATGGATGAAAAAAATTTTAACTATAATTGACTGATTAAATTATATTAAAATAAAGCTTTTTCTGCATCAGTATCATTAATTTTAAAGAAATCCTTATTCCACAATTTGTATTTCTTTCCATTTGATACTTAAAAAGATTATTCTATTTAATGAGGCTACTAGCTCAAATTTTTTAAATTATACAATCACTAGCAATAGCTCAAAATGAATAATAAATGTCTAAGCATTGAAAAAAAAAAGCATAACAGCAAAAGTAATTGAAGTAGCTGTCACTGAATCTTTAAGAATTTTTTTCATCTTTTAAAGTATTCACATAACTGCTAACAATACGGCCAGAAAAGTAAAAGGTTTATATTAAAATTTAATTCATAGCTGAAAACATCTGTGTATAATAAAGCACCAGTTGCAATAATACCTGTTCACAATTCTTAAAATTACCTTTTTTCCTTTTAATCTTTCTGAAAACACCAGTAATATTAAAATCTTTAATAGCATTTAAGAAAATTAGAAATTAAATGTTAAAAGCTCTTAAATAAAAGAACTGAGTTTTTGTAAGAAGGCTAATCCAAGAACTATTTAAACCAATATAAAAATAACATCAAGATATGACAACGACTGGAAACATGCAATTAAAATACTGGGTTAACTTACTGCTGCAGTTCTGCTCATCAGAAAAGTCTGGACAATCATATTCTCCATCACAACGTTGATAACTTTCAATGCATGTCTTATCATTACAGCGAAACTCATCAGGAGAACAATGCATTTCCTCTAGATCATGTTTTGTAATAAAATCAAAATCATAAAAGGCAAATAAAAATGTTAAGCAGCTTAAATAATAATATAAATAACAGCATAAAAGCACACACAAAGCATAAAATATAGCATAGCTATTTTAAAAACTCAAAAATTTCACTTGATTGTTACCATTTTGTTGATAACAATAATTGCAGCAGAGTAATTGTAAAAAATAAAATCAAGACTGCTTTCAGTGCAAAGCACAAAAAAAAAAAAAAAAAAAAAAAGGTGTATTTCATGAACAGAAAAGTTATAGTAAACACATACGGCACAAGCTTTCATCTTCTCCATTAGGGCAATCAACAATCATATCACATCTTTGGAAAAATTTAAGGCATTCCCCTGTATCGCAAGGAAATTCATCAGCTGCACACTTTCCAACAGCATCTAAAAAGAAATGTTTCACAATTCATAACAGAAAGAATTAATGAAATGGCTGCATCTGATTTATCCTTAAAGAAGAATTTCTATTTCACAGACAATCTTTATTCAGCATGCATCTACTTATATTATAACTTATCTACCACATATCATTCTTTCCTATTTTTCTCCTTTCTTAAAGGAACATAGTTCTCAATTTTAGATGCTTCTTATTCAAAAGAGTTTTAAAAAGTCTAACTCATCTTTAAGAAATTTAGTTTTCATATTTTTTAAATAGCTTTAAACTACATTGCCATTACAAGTATAAATCTTTACTGCTAAGTAATACAGTTTTTCACAATCATTAAACATTTGGCTTAGGAGGAACAAAAAATGGCTAATAATGAATAATTTAATACACATAAAAAAACACTGTTAAGAAACTATTTATTTTTAAAAATTAACCAGCATTGGCAATAGCAAGGAACAATTATTTTATGTTACATAACATAATGAAACTACTCACTAATTTGAGTTTTCTTACACGAAAATAAATCTTTTTTTCAGAAATAACTCCTTCACTCATATATATGCATGAATACACACACATACACACACCAAAAAGTATAAACTATACTTGCATTGAAATTAATGAGACATTTTTAACACTCAGATTTCTAAAATGATGTATTTCCCAAGAAAGTGTTCTAAATATTTTGAAACTGGTTTCATACTAAAAATCATTAATCATAAACAGTGCATAACTATTACAGGACAAAAAATTAAATCTATTGGCTGATCACATCAAAAATTGCAAATATCTCATGGACTTAGGTTTCACAATGACAATTTAGAGAAAATTTCCTAGCCTATGATTTTTTCCATCAAAAGTTCATAAATTTTACAACCTCGGAATTATGCTAATATTATAAAAAAAGTGCCAGTGTAGTTAAAGTGTTCTAATCAAGTAAATATAACAGAATTAATGATCATTTAACATTTCTTAAACATAAATACTTATTTTAATAAACTAATCAAATTCTGGCTATCAATGGCACTTTATGGGATTAAGACTTATTTTTAAATTTAGAAAAAATTCTTTAAGTTTGGCTACTACTTTTAGTGAAATTCCTTCTGAATTTAGAGACTTTTTAGCTACTTTTTGCATGTGTATCTAGCAACATTTGAATGTGAGAGTTGGTATCCGTGGATATACTGCTGTTATCAATAACAGCACAATAACAGCTTTCCTTTTAAATTACAAACATACACTATTGTTAGTCCTCCATGTCAACAGGCAACTTGATGGATTTTTATGAGAACCATCTGCAGTCTTGTTTATAATTGCATCACTGGAAGTTTCCATTTTTGTTTTGTATTGCTGTTGATCAATGGCACCATTGCTGACTAAGCGATGATTATTAAGTTTACAATAACTAGAAATTGGAAGCATAAAACTTTCAGTTTATTGATATTACTTTGTGTTTACCGATTTGTTCTTGCTTTTCGTGAAGTTTCTTTTCAGTGATGTGGAAATGTGAAGCTTTCTGTACAAGAAGATAAGATTTTTGTACGTTTCATGTAATTTTTCAATGTGAACAAATATGTGTAGTTTGCTGATTATTACTGTATAAATGTATTTACCTTTTCTTTTAAATTCATATTAGTGGTCTGCCAAATATAAAATTATATATGTAGTGGTCCGTAAAGTTCTAAGGGTTGACGACCGCTGGTCTAAAGCATCAACAGATTGTGATTTATCAAGATCAAAAATTATACATGCTTTGAGGAATTTGTGGTTGACTGACATGAAGAGTGCTTTTAATTTTCTTTTATAAGTGGGCACAGCTGGTTTAGCCATTCAAGATTTAAAGTTCTTAATTTGATGTACGAATACTTTACAAGACATTTTTTGCTTCTCCTAATTAAAAAGTAATTAATTAATACAAATATCAACATTATTTGTACACAAAAAAAAAATAATCCAACAATTACATTGGTGATCAGAAAATGATAAGACAACAATCTGAAATTTCTAAACATACTTGACAATTCCTCAAAAATTAAATTTAAGAAAATCTCCTATTGTGGAACTCTTCGGAAAGATTTGTGCTCTAATAAAATTACTCTCCTAATCAAAAATATGCTTGAATGTTATATAAAATACATAAATGTAATCAATATAGAAAATGTAATTTTTTTAATTCATGAAAACTTTTTAAACTATTCTTGTATTATTTAAATTTTAGACCGTATCTGATTGATTTTATTAACAGAATATATTAGATATTACAAAATTAAAAGTTGTTGTGGCAATTAAAACACTGCAGTATATAAATGGGAATAGACACAGTATTTCAAGCACTAATTTTAGGTAATGCAATGATGTGAAACAATATTAATCTATTAAGTAAAAGTCTCTGGCAATTATAGACTTTGTAAATGTTTTTTATGCTTATGAGGTGTTATTTGACAGAATTTGTAATAACTTTAATTTGTGTAAAATGATTCTTCTGAATTCCTAAGGTAAATGAAATAAATTTACGTATAATAATTGTTAATAATATAAAAATCAAAAAGGAATAGAAATTTAGTTCAAAGGTGAGCCTTAAAAGAGTTAAACACTAATTTTAAATAAACATACCACAAGACAGCTCATCCGATCCATCCCGACAATCACGTTGTCTATTACATCTAAGGGTACTTTTAATACATTGTCCATCAGAACATCGAAACTCATCCCTCTCACAGGTAGGTTGATCTAAGCAAATGATATTTATTTTTTTTTTATTAAGAAAGTACAAACACAATATGAAGTAACACACATAAAGCATATAATTCTTGTGGTAAATCTTCCACATAAAATTAAATAGAAATTTAAATAAAAGAAAAATTCATGCAAATGCACTTTTCTGGAACAATTACTTCAATTAAATTTGCAATGCTGACTATTAAAATTGCAACACCAATAAGGATAAAATGTAAGATGATCAAGTTTACTTTATTTTGCAATTCCTTATAATACAAAGATGAAATCATTAAAATTTCAGGGACATTGGAGAAACAGAATATGCTTTGATCAATTCTAAATGTGGTTAACATGAGTAACTACAACTATAGCTGTGCAATCAGGCATAGAATATAGAAGACTTTAGATGGCATTTACTGCATTGCAGGTAGATGTAAATTTGGACTAGAGTTCATTTTTTGCAACTGCTGCTGGTCGTTGCTGTGCCACTATGTGTGACATCACAGGAAAGATGTAGTAAATTGGAGAAAGATCTGGTGACTGGGTGAACAAAAGCAAAACTGCAATCAGCTATGCTTCGAGAGAAGTTAGGCAATAAGAGTGAGGGGCAGTTGTGTATAAATTTACAATGTAAATGGCTCTAAGATCACTCAAGATATAGTACAATTGCAAGTCTTAGTACATCTGTATAATTTTGATTGATCAAACTGCCAGATATGTGTAACAGATGCAAAAAGAATTCATGTTTAATCATACCCCATACCATAACTCCCAAAGCAGGACCAGAATGATGATACATAAAGTAAGATTCTCAGTAAGTATTTCTCATTTCCTCATGATGAAACTATGCAAGGTGAATTTTATGTTGCAATGTGTAAATTACTAAGAGTTTTTTATATATTTGCTTTTCTCCTCCTAATTTTAAAATACTCAATCCAAAACTGAAAAAATGAAATTTATGAGAAATAAATGAACTAGGAAAAGAGGTATTCCATAGCAGGCATAATGGCAACAGCTTAAATTCATCCAGTTTGAGAACAGACTAAGAGTAGATAATTTTGACCATTCCTCAAGAATTTATCTGCCGAAAGTTAAAAATAGAAACTAATAACAACACGGCTATGAAAGTCCTTAACTATATTTTTAACTCAAACCACATATCAATGTACTGATAATACAATTCACTTCCCATCTGTTAAGGATTTTGAACTAATTAACATTTACCAGATCAAGTGAAACCTCACGCAATTTAACATCCTTCTTTAAGTTTGTTAAAAATACTATCAGTATTTCAGAATAAATTAAAATATTTCATTTTTTAAAGTTTCAAGAATTGAACAGTATAACATTCAATTTTCTTAGGGGATTCTGCAAATACATCCACTATCATCCATGTTTTTATTTTTCTTTATTATAAACATTTTTTAAACATTTTGTTTCCTGTAACTTTTTATGAACAGAGATATCGCTTTCTGTTTCATCAGTATTTGGACACCATAAAATAGTGAAGCAATTTTGACCATGATCTAAAGTTCTTCAGAGGCAACAGATTTGAAGACATGAGATGAAAGAAAAAGACTAGTTTTATCAACATTGAAAATATTTTTAGTTGATATCCATATAGAACGGGAGATATAGAACTGTTCCCCCCTTTTTTTTGCACAGTATACATGTTATTGTATATTGATTAATTATTAATTTTATTATTACTGTATACATCAACTTAGTAATAAGTCATATATTGATGCAAAATAAAATTAAATACAAATATTAACAAATTAAACATTGACTGAATCTTCATAAAAATTCTACAAATGTTTATAATACATTAAGACAATTCAGAAGGAATAAAATTAATAAGAAAAGTTAAGCTGAAAATCACCATGGTTGGAAAGTGAAATTTGCACAATTCAAGTTTTATTAATTCAATAAAAAATACGAGATATTTTTTTTAAAAAAATGGGAGATTCTATGATCTACCAGAAGACCAGAAAATGTGATGATAAACCAAAAGAGTTGGCAGCTATGACTTTATAATGCACTGTTCAGGTTATTATTCTGCTGTTAATAATACAATTCTGATGTAAAATATATTAATAATTTAATTAGATATCAATATTTTATGTTCTTTGGCTTTTGTGAGTTTGTCACTCTTTTATACTGAGAAAGAGAAGAAAGGCTTTACTTTTCATCAGTCCTTTAAAATAAAACTGATGATTAATGTACTCACTATTATGTGGATAAACTTTGTAATATACCACACTGATGTAAAACAAAATTAAATGCATATTAGCAATGACTAAGTAGAGGTTAAATTCTTTTAAATTTTCTACAGATATTTACAAAGATAAAAATAAGTCAGATCAAATAAAATTGAAGAAATGCTGAAAAGGGTGGGAGTGGAATTAACATGTACAGTTTAGTTTTCATTAATTCAATGAATTTTATTTATTTCAAGGAAACTTTTTCTTTAGCAGTTTTTCTTAGTAAAGGTTAAAAATTACACCTGGGAGATCTGGAAGATATGATGAAAAACTAGGAGATTAGTTGGCAGCAATAAAATACCAGTCTGAGAAATTAGTTTTTGTGCATTGAAGATAGGGGATTTTGCAGGTAAATAAAATCCATACTAGCATCATGCATCACATGCGAAACTGAACATAAAGCTAGATCACCAGTGTCATCAACATTGAAACTGATGGAATCTAGAACTTGAAAGCAGCAGTTCTGCTCAAATTTTCAAAATCACAATTTGGCAGCTAAGTTTCGTTTTAAGCTCTTATTTTAAACAATAATGGAGAAAGAACATGCTCTTGTGAATTACAATTACAGTAATCATTGTCAATTGCAATTATTATCAATTTATATAATTCTAGATTACATCTATATGCTTCAGAAAATACAGGTAAAGTTGAGTCTATTACTTTACCTGAGTACTATCTCTATTATAATTTTGGTATCATTATTACTATAAAAATAGAATTTTTTTAGAATTGAAATAATACGAAATTGCAACAGTTTTATTTCAAAAGTAGAAACTTTTTTAAATGAAAATAAACAAAAAGAAAAAGAAACTTATGCTGAGTTACCAAAAAAAGTCATGCAATTTTCATGTAAATGCTTTAATTAGTATTAAAACTGACCAAAAAGCAAAATTAATTTTATGATGCCACACAAACTGGAAAAAAAAAAAAAAAATGACTTGAGTTTAAAAACACAAATTTGACATCTCTGATAATACTACAATATTTATCTCACACAACAAATAAATCATACAAAAAAAATCATGCCAAACATAACTTAGAGAGCCCAAATTTTAAAACAAATATTCAGATACAAAATTCATGTTTTCAATACTTCACGGCAGAAATGTATTAAAGTATTAAACCTTCATCAATTAAATTTACTCGATAATTTATCAAGTTACAACATACCACAAGTTAATTCATCACTACCATCTCTGCAATCATACTGCCTGTTACATTTAAGATTAAGGGAAATACATTGTCCATCTCCACACCTAAATTCATTTGATGCACATGTTGCTGGTTCTGGTCAAGTAAATAAAAGAATATCAAATAAAAAATATGCTCACTGAATATTATATCAATACTTTTGAAAAATAATAAATATTTTATAAAATATTAATTAATAAATTGAACACAAGTTAAAATAAAAAAAAAAAGTAAAAATGCTGTAGACCAGTGATTTTCAACTGCTGGTAGGCAAGAGAAAAATAGGTGGGATAAGTAAGTATTTTTAACTATTAAATTAAAAAATTAAATACTCCAACATCCTGTTTAAGTTTTTTCTCTAATACTCATATATTTATGCAAGCTGAGCTTTGTTCAAGGTCAATAGCTGCTCATAGACTTTAGCGAAGTAATCCATTTTTATTTTCACAAATATTCTTTTAGCCATAGACATAGCAAAATTTGTCATAAACGATGTTTTTAAGAGGAGTAATAGTAATGGATGTTGTTCAAAAAAAGAATTTAAAGGGATTTCAATAAAAGCTTTAAATTTTTGCTTTTTTGCACAACCTGGTGTATTACCCATGATCCTGAGACAAAATGGCAATCATCTGCATGAGCTTGAGAAGATTTATCACACCTGCAAAAACCAAACTTCTGTTCAGAAATCTACAGTAAAGATCATGTTGATCACCATTTTTTAACTGAAAAGGGATAATCAACAAGGAAATTTGTTCCTAAGGGACTAGGAGAGAATGCTAATAAAGTTGTAATGGAAAGACTTTTCAAGAAAAAATTTATTTAACCTTAAGCTCAATAACTAATTTCAGCTTCATAACAGTATGCCATTCTCAACAAGTAATTTCTAACAAAGAAAAATGTCACAATTTTTAATAACCCCACCTTTTTCTCTAAATTTGGCACCAACAGACTACTTTCTCTTTTCTCAAATTAAAATTCACTTCTAAAGTCCTGTTGTTAGAATTGAGGAGATTCAGAAAAATTAATCACACACTTAAGCAGTATTCCAAAACATGAGTTTTATGAAAGAATCAAGTAGCTGAATAAGTATACTAACATTATATAAACTTCAAGTATTGTATATTGAAAAGTGATAAGAACCAACATAGTTTTCTTTAATTTTTTATTTTGTACAAACTTACTTAATTCGAAAACTCTGTAGATACACTTCATAAAACATTAACTCTATCATAAAAGTTATAATTGACTACTTTCTAAATTCCCATTTTGTAAATACTTGTTCAAAAGTTACAGTTTCCTTTAATTCAACATATAAATAATAAGGTATTATAGATAAATAATGGTTATAACCATGAATAATTCTTTAAGGGTGCAAATTCTAATTTCAAGAAAATATTTTTAAAGTAAACTTTTAATACCTAATTTCAATATCTAATTTCAAAAGCTTGCCTACAAAAATTGCATTCTAGAAAAATAAATAAAAACCATGCAAAAGGATTAGACACACAAAGCATTCAAAAGTATTTCTAATGCACAAAAAAGTACTTATAATAAGCATGCATAATTAAACTAGACCTATAATCAAATTTCACCAAAAGCTGCACAACTAATTAGCAAACTTTACAATTTCAAATTTTATTCCCGTCCCTCTGAATTTTCATTTTATGTTCTTGTTAAATAAATTCCAGTTTCTTTTCTGTATCACCTTTTTTTAAAATCAAGAAAACTTACCACATGTCAGTTCATCAGTGCCATCAGCACAATCGTACTTCCTGTCACACCTAAGATGGCTCTTAATACATTGCCCAGAGCTGCATCTGAATTCATCTGGTTGACAGGTAACAGTTTCTATATTATTTAAAACAAAAAAAAAAAAGAAAAAAACATACAGAAACAATAAAAACAAGCACCATTTGAAATTATGTTTTGTTTATGTATCAGTTTTATGTACCTAAAAATAAAACTTTTTTTTTTTACATGCAAAATGCAACTAATAGTTTTAAAAAGCATTGAGAATGCTGAAAATATACGTTATTATAAAAAAATCCCATACAACAATCTTTTCGATTTTGATTTAAAAACTTGAAAATTATCAAACTTTTAAACTTGCTTTGTGAATGCCCAATTCCATCAAAGTTCAGTTCTAATTTTTATCCCTTCTTATGATGATTAGAAATATTCTTTATTCATGCGCATTAGAAATATTCTTTATTCATGCGCATAATATTACAGGCATCACACTAAAATATCTCTCTGCAAAACTGTCTTTTGGGGGAAGATGAAAAATGTTAATATTTGACTCGTGTTTGATTTTGAAAAATAACAAATCTTGTCTTCTATATTGCAATTCTTTTATGTGTATTTCAGAGTACATGAATCTCTCTCTTTCAGTAAAGTTTAAAAAAAATCTAGAAAATGCATGTGTCTGTAAGAACAGCAAAAAATGCAGATTCATACTTTTGTCAAAATCATATAAATATGGGAAAGTATAGATATGCTGATTAAAAGTTACCTTTTAGTACAGTAATAGAACAAAGAAAACACCTAATGTTTAGACACATTTGGGTCATATTAATCCAATGCTAGTTTGGCATGATGCTTTTAAACAAAAATGAAATAAAATTAAAAAATTTATAAAATATCATACCTTGTTTGAAATTCAGACATACGGAAATGATGAAATATTTCATGCAGGTTAAATTTTTTTTAAATACCTATAATTATTAAGCTCATTTATAGACTGCACTTAATATTGATTATGAAATCTCCTTTGCATCCGACAGAAAATGACTATGCTGCTATTATGAAAAAGGATACACTCTCAACAGAAGTGGAGTATTTGTAATAGAATGGTTCTTTATTTAGTTATAATAATAGATTAGTTTATCAGGTGGCCATTATTGTGAATGCCAAACGAATTTAAATAAAATAAAAAAATCTGATGTGTACACCACATGACTTCCTTGAACGGAATATTAAATTATACGCAATTTTTCTTGAATTTCATTTAAATTGATTGGATTGAATAAATATCTTCGTCGACAGCGCAAAACCACAATAGATAATGACTCTTAAATTAACTATATTTGTTTACTAACGACACTCTGATGCACAAATTTTATCATTTGAAGAAGAGTTGCCAATGTTCATCAAAACTATAATAAAGCTAAAGATGTTGAAAGAAATTAAGCAAACAAAAAAACGAAACAGTTTTTCACAGACGATTAGTATTCTCATTCAATTAATCGTTCTCACTTCGCGACAAGGCAAAATGCATAAAACTCAAAATATCTGCATTAAAAATTACGAAGTAAATCTTAATATTATTTCCTCAAAAAAATTCAGAAAGATTAGCATGATTAATGCAATAATAAATGAAGTTATTTTGTGTTGCGAAGCTTAGTCTCACTAGATGGCAACAAATCAACAATTCTGCGTTTCAAATGTAAACAAATATGTCCGCCATGTTAATTAAAACTTAACCGGCACTTAAACGCTTTAAATTGTTGATAATTGTACAAATATGCTGTCAGAATTACGAAAGGCATAAAAAACCTTAACCGGAAGATAAAAAACATAATTCAATCCTTTTTAAAGCAAAAATGTACAATTACAAACATATAAGAGTAAAGAACTGAATCATGAGCCGGGTAACACAGTGGATATATATATAAAATATATTTATATACGTTTGGTGCGCCGATTGCAACCAAAATACGAGGTGCACATCTACATGTTATAGCAGTCCTTATATACAAAATTTCAACATTCTGAGGCTACTCGTTTTTGAGTTATGCGAGATGCGTACGTACGTACATACGTTCGTAGAGATGCCACGAAAAATTCCCTTCAGAATTCATTTTAAAGCAGTTTTATAATTTTTTTGGAGGTAAAGAGTCTTTTATTCTGTCCTTATGTACAGATATCACGAAAAACATCGTTAAATTGCATTTGATCACGGTCAAAATGGATATTTTCATTGAAATATGTTGCCTGAATTTTTTCGCAATTACAATACTTCCTTTTTACTTCGTACAAGGAAGTAAAAACATACAGATGATTGTAATGTGCATTAAGGCTTAATTCAAAAGGAAAAATCTTTATCTCTGATTCAAGATGACCTTTGACAAAAGCTAAAGAGCATTTTTCATTTCTCAAAGAAATAACCAAAATTATTTGATTTTTATAAAGTATTATCTCAAAATGCCCTTTCTACTTTGCTTTGATACGATATTCTTCAAAATAGAGATGGTCCTAAGAATTCCAAAACCATTTTGTTAGTTAACCCTAGGCTAATGTTAAATTCAGACCATTCACTTTCCTCCAAAAAAACATGCCCTGAAATGGATGTTACACCATCAGAACAACCAGCCTTGCTTCCCAAAATAAAACCAGTACCATTCCTTGCATGTGTAAATAAGTTACTGTGACTGAAATACATCAACAAGTAAATTATATTTTCCCATACAAAAATTTCAACTACTGCTGAAGAAATATGGCTTTTAAACAAATAGCAGAAGACTTACCACAACCATACTCATCTGTACCATCTCTACAATCATACTGGCGATTACACCTGAGACTAGTGCTTATACATCGTCCATCGCCACATTTGAATTCATCAGGCCGACATTCTTTCTCTATAAAAAATAAAACAGAATGAACATAAGAACTGAACCTTTCTGTAAATGAATTTAAATGTAACTCTAGAATATCTAGAAATACAATATCATGTAAAGTTCATGTGCTTGTACATCTAGAACTACAATACCATATAAAATTCATGTGCTTGTACATCTAAAAATACAATATCATGTAAAGTTCATGTGCTTGCACATCTAGAAATACAATAACATGCAAAGCTCATGTGCTTTGCAAAGTTTGCTTACTACCAAACAACATTACTATAGCAGCTAAAACATATTTATTAAATTATTAAATGTTTAGATTAATATTCTCCTTGCAATACTTAGATAAGTGCAAATGTGATAATTTAATATTTTCATTGAGATACATTAATACTCAAAACACACTTATCTATATGTAATTCTAGACTGCTGCCATATATTATAGACCATACCTACAAATATTAAATATCTCTACATATAATAAAAGAAAGAGTCTGTCTGAGTGCGTGTGTCTTTCGTTCGCGCTGCGCATAAGCTAATAGACCCACGGCTCTGAAATTTGGTACATAGGTGCATCTAGACAAGAGCCAGTGCCCCTCGAAGCGACTTTTTCGAAATTCAAATTCGAATTTTTTTTTATTTTATGTTTTGTGACGAAAT